TGCAGTTGACTACAGCCGACTTGGTAATGTTCATCTAGGTGAGGTCTGTCAATATGTTAGAGCTGGCGTTGTACTGTCGGCGTCGTCAGCTGATGAAGACAGTGATTGGCGTGAGCCAATTCCATGATAACGATAACTATTGTTAGTTCATTCACTCTCTGCTTGAAGGACAACGTAGTCATGCGACATATGGAAATCGGGGAAAGGAACGACAGTTGGTCTTTTAGTATCCATCTAGGCGAGGTCACTCACTACTGTCAATATGTATAGACGATTCAAGGTTTTCCAGCAAAATATAATTCTAAAGCGTCTGTCAGCGTATATACCAACTTCTGTGCGTGTAATGCGGAACAGCTGGTATTAATTAAATGCAGCTTGACAATTGGCTCTCTGAGGTACGACTTATGCAGAGACCAGAAAAGATATTGGCGACAGACATTCTGTTGTCAGTAATAGCATTTGGAATGATCTACAATACATATCATGAGACTGACTTTGCATTTATTCATCAACCATTCTGGCAGGTTCACAAATATGTTAATTGGGTCAAAATTGATCTTCAGCAACCCATGTTGTAAGAGCGAACAAATGTGATCGGGTGGTCATTCTCACTTACTTGTTTGATGCATGCCATCGTATCCCACTTGTGAAGATCGATGCTCATAGTGTCATGACCATGCTATGTGTAACTCTTTTGTGTATATCATTACATATTACTAAAACCAAGGTGCGATATTTTTATGAACGTTACAGTAGAAGCAAGATGTTTATATGAATATTGTCTAGGAATTTCTTTTGAGTTGTCCACAAAACTAGGCACTTAATGTTTTGTATTTAAAGCAGTACGTTTCTTTCGTAATAGATCTTCATCAAATATTCCTCTGTTCCTCTGTGATAAGATTGCAAAAATGTTAAGACTAAATCGTTTCCGTGGACCTTCTTCAACATATCTGTGCATATAAACGCCAATGTACAGGAAGGAGTAGCTGCAAGAGGTTGAACCTGTTGTGTGCTTCGGCATGTGGATGTGGACATGAAACATGTTCCCGTGATCTTGACAATGTTGACATTGACTAACATGTCAACTGGGAATACACTATGACTATTAAGAACAATAAATACGAATTGATATGAAGGTAATGTTGCTTGTGTTATGATGACATGACTGTGTGTATATTTGGTGGTAAGATACCATAACGCCTTTCTGATCAGTGTGTCATATCTTTTACAATGTATCAATGATTGCCGGTGTAAAATAAAGAAAGAAAACCCAAAGTCGTAATATTTCACATTGTAAACAGAAAAAATGGAACACCATAATGTCAATTGTAAACCTTCCATTAGGATGTCATATTATTATCCATCAGCTTTAAGGGTTTCACGACATGTCAGTGCAATACTGACACTTATCAAAACATATCTCCTTCTGACATCAGCTGAATTGTTGTTTCTGCTAGAATGTCAATAAACGCAAATTTGTATGATAGTTCAACAGTATCTTCGACATATTTAGTATTGTTGATAATTTGTAAAGCATGGAACTGAAATTATCTTATGTTTTGCTGATCTAAATACAAAGTACCAACCTTTATTTCCTTGTAATGGTTTTTTCATGAATACAATGCCAACCAAAGGTTTATATGATCTTCAAATGATATAGCTGAATCAGAAAAACATAATTTTGGAAAAACTACCTTTAATTTGTAAAGTTCAACTCACATTTTCTCATCAAATGCCCTTTCTATTAAAACTGACCTTTGACCTTACCAAAATATTTTTGCGATGAACATATATGTAATATTATTGTCCACAATTTTAAATCATGGTCTGATCATTCCAAAACTATTTTTGTTATGAAAATCGGTCAAACCAAACCAGAGTTATTAAATTAAACCATCCAGTTATCGGTTAAAATATTGCCATAACTGACATGACATGTTGCACCTTAAAAGGGCCTCTGTACGGTAGTCACGCACGGTAGCTGATGACAACCGGCTTTAAATCAAAGCCAAATCATTCCTGATTGTGAAAAATCACATCCCATTCGGTCGCCAGAACTGCACCACATTTTCACTATTTGGGGGATCTGGCTTCTAGACCATTACTTTATGTGGATATTGATGGATACATTCCTCGAAGAAGGTAATAGCCTGACATTGTTGCACACTTTAGTCTGTTTTATTTCTAATATTTGCATTTTGTTTTTATTCATTTGTGGTAGCATTCAACAGAATCATTTTTTTTTTGCCTAGAAGTGTATTGAGACAGACAACATACACTAGGTCGTAATTAGGGCGTGTGTGAAATATGATTCACATTGGCAAGCTATAAAATGTCTAGATATTACAGTCATGTTATAAATTCACTATAAGTATAAGCAGATCATATGTTTAGGTTTCAAAATGCACACAAATATGACAATAAACTGATTAGGATTATTAGACAAAATATAAGGACGTACATTGACATTAGTCAACTTTGATTCAAAGTAACTGAATCTTGTACTCAGATCTTGGACTTGTGAGTGTTGTTATCTGACTTTTGAAGTCTCATTTCATGCACCGCATTTCCTTTAGAATTGTATCTTTGTCTCCTTTTGAGGTCAGATGGCCAGGGTATATTTCAATGTTGTTAACACACAAGTTTCTGTGTTTTATAAGCTGAGTTGGCAGCGGATTACAGCTTAATAGCAGCGTTGCAAACTCCCGCCTGCCCGACCGTCCGGGACGGTCTGTTTTGCGACCGGACGGTCAGTTTTAAAAAGTTGCACGCCCGATGGTCTGGCTGTTGAATCAGCGTAATTTTGTAATGTATATAATGACTAAAAACATTTAAAAACGTGTTATTGTGCCGATCGATAATTTCGATGTTATTTTCACATATTGGACCTAATAAATTACGAACATTATCATTTACGAATTCATCAAAAACTAACCACGAAATCTTGATCATGTTTCCGCGGCGTGTATGTATTTACGCATCCTTTTTTATCACACTAAGCTACCAAATGTACATGTAATGGATTGCGCGATTGGCTGCTATTTTAAGCATTGGACAATCAGAAACGGGCTTTCCCGACCCCACCTGCATGTAACAATGTTTCAAGGACATCATTAAATAAATTGAATAAACTAATGAATAAAATCAACAATAGCATTCATAAAAGTTGTCAAACGTACATATAAAACTACTATTTCCATCTTTTTGTGCGATCATGCAATGCGAGTCAAGTCACTGACAAGTGACATCTCGGCTTTCGCCGCCTCAATCTTCACGCTTGGACACGATGTTTAATGCGAAAATATATACATGAAGCATTTTTGTCACAGGTCATAATCTAGCACTATACTTCGAATAAGTTCCATAATTTACGTATACATAGCGATTTTGTGCTTAATATGTTCCGAATAGCATTATTTTACCCAAAACTTTCGTCTAAATATAAAAGTTTTCGTTTACGAGGACAGTATCCATTGCCGTAATTGATTTTGACCAATCACGACTCTTATAGCAGACTGTGGCGAAAAAGCGTCATTAGAAACCAATCTTTATCCAATAAAATCGCTTCTTACAACTGTGAAAATACTCTCAGCAAGGGTATAGTGATATTGTTGATGTTCAGAGCTTTCCAACGATACCCGCCATCAAACGATTCGCCTCGCATGTTATTCATACGAAGCTTCGAAAACGGAGGTATTTTCCGTTGTTGTGTCATGTTACCGAGAGGAAAGCCACTGATATCGGGAAATAGGCGACCATACATATTATCTTAAAGATTTCTTAAATAATATGCATGGTCAGCTATTTCCGATATCATCAGTGGCTTTAATAATTTTCTGATTACGTAAAAATGAAAATATAAAAGAAAAAGGCACGGGGATGTTATGACAAGTCACAAATGGAAAAAAATCATCATAGTTTTTGCTTCTTTTGTGATATTTCTGGATATTATAAATGCTTGCATTTTCATTAAAAACATAAAAGTTGTAGTTGTATTATTTGAAAAATGTTAGAAAAATAAATTTCATATTTATCAACAGTGGGATTAGATCTTTTAATTTTGCTGTATATCTAGAATCCAAGTTGCAACATTAAATGTCATTAACAATTTAGTTATATGATGCCATTGGGATTTAAAAAATGTCAAAAAGAGCTTTAGGTCAATGGCCTATCGCCAGACACCCACTCAGGACATTTGTCCTACAAATTTTTATAGGCTTCAAAATCACTGTTAATCCTGAAAATTCTGGACTGGTAACTTTCCAGCCGGTCAGGTAACTTTTGAGAGTTACCAGACCAGTTGTCTGGCCGAAATTTTGGGGAGTTTACAACACTGTTAATAGGCAAGCGACTGGAGCATGTGAAAATTGAGATGACCAAGCTCAGTTTCCAATGATGTTATGCCACTGGTGGAAACATTTTCTTAAAAAAAATTCTTTTGGTAAATATAGATACATGCATAATTCAAAATTTTCATATGCATTGAAAACAGCATAGCTCAAACCAACATGCAGGAAAATCATGCCTGCACATACAGTAAGCCTGAAGTATATATATTATATATCGAACCCAATGACACTGGATTAGTATTGACAATGTTTGCCAAGCGTTAGTTGCAGGCTTCTGTTTGACTAACCGAAAAGTCCAAGTCTTGCTCTATGGACTTCGACCGACACTATTTCTATGATTTTCTATGGTCGTAATACAACATAAAGATGACAGGGAGCATTAACATATGTCTTGACACACAGATGAGCTTACTGCACACTCATTTTTTGTCAATACCCACTCCAGTATTGTTGATCATAAAAGTATTCCATGTCTCTGTGTATGATATATAGTGATGTTTCTCACAAACAAATCTTCACATTTCTCCATGCAAAGCATCAGTAGTATTGGTTGACCCAAGCTGCAAAGCTCTCCCCAAATGAATTAGGGACTGGACATTACTGATGCCTGGGATAAAATGTGTAAATATTATATGTTGTTTGTGCCAATAGATTGCCCAGCTTGACCGTGAGAAGCAGGATATTCATGAGTCTTTGGAAGGGGTAAGTCATTTGTTTTACCTTAAACATGACTTTGCCTTTTGCTTCTCCTCAACAGTTGTAATGTGCTAGTGCATATCCATATGCTCCTGTAATGAAACCTTTTAAGCCTCCTTCAATTTTTGTGAGTTGTCCTATCATTGAGAGTTTTTGTCATTATTGTGTTCTTGTGTGACTCACTCTTTGGTTAAAAGCTTTTGTACCTTACCAGGTGGAAGCAGACAATTTACTCATCGTCTGCTTTATCTGCTCAAGCAGCTGAGGTCATGAACAAACTGGTTTACAACAGAGACCTTTGAAACTCAAATTCACTGTCTTGTGCGCAGTTGTGCAAAACAACTTTGGCACTAGACTCATAAATCTTTGTGAGATCTGGGAGTTGTAACCTTCATATCCCTAAGATTGCCCTGTTCAGAGGACAGAGGGTCCGGCCTAGTGCACACAAACTTAACAATGCATATATATTTGATTTATCAGACACATCAACATTTACTTTGAAATGTGTATATTGTATCATGGGGTGTGGGGGTGGGGCGTGTTTGTTATATTTATTTGTTTGTTTATTTTTACACCAAGCTCCTACAATAAGATATCATTGTTACAGCTTTGTAGGTGAGTCATTCCATGTTAATTCAACCAAGGCCTCCCAGTTCATGTCATCGATTTTGTTCATTTTTACACAGTGTATAGAACATACATGGAACATAACACACATAAAATATTTCTATTCAATTCACATTGGTTTGGGCACTTGGGGGTTTAATTTATGGCACAGCCTATTTAGAAAATGGAGCACCATTTGTACTAATATCAATTATGTGGTACTAAATGATCTCTAAATACAACTGAATCAAAGCACCCTTGTCCATAAGTAAATATTCATGTTGACCTTGAGTCTCTGAAACAATGGGCTTCCATTTTCATCAAAGAAGCATGTTGTTTTAGTGTATCACTGGCCTCTTCATGTTTGTATTACATCCCATGACAAACATTATCATGTTGTTTTAGTGTATCAGTGGCCTCATGTTTGTATTACACATTCATTCCTCAACATTGTTAACCATGTATTCTTTGTAGTGCCTCATATATGTATATACATATATATATATCCCCTCATACTCCCTACCATTCACCTGATGAAGCATACACTTCGAAACTGTGTTATTCACAATAAAGAAAGTTGACATCCATAAATCTTTCTTTTCTTAAGAAGCTATGTTTTTGCGATTGTTTTTGTCAGTTAAGGAACACCAATACACGCATTATGGATACAGTGCTAAATATGTGCTGCATATGTGACACATACACCAAAACGCTTTCTACTTTGTGGAAAACATTTCTATGAAGATAAATAGGAAGATCCATGTGCAGTTGTCATAAGGAATCTTTTGTTATGTGCTGCGGTTGGCAGAGGATAGTGTCTTCCTTTTCTGAGTATCTTTTGCATGGCATTTCATGAGATCAGTTGATAGTGTTTGACACTTTGCATTTGAATCATTTGAATCATGACTCTGAGTGTATCGCTCAACAGTTTTCAGACTTTTTCATTGAGAAGATTGTGAAAATTCATCAGACATTTTCACACGATGAGAGTCCCTCTAGTATGTATGAAGAAACCCATTTTTCCTTTGAATCTGACTGTCTCACAGAGTTTGCTCCATTTACAACCAAGGAGTTGTTAGCTCTTATTAAGAAATCCAAACCGACTTCCTGTGCTCTGGACCCTATACCAACCAAGATTGTAGTGAATAACATTGATATTCTCATACCAGTAATTCTTCACATCATCAATTCAAGTCTCAGGTCAGGAGTAGTTCCACAAAGCATCCAGAAGGCGATAGTGAAACCATTACTGAAGAAATCCACTCTGGACAAGGATGAGCTACAGGCCAGTCTCAAACCTGTCGTTTATCTCCAAGGTGATTGGGAGAGCTGTCGGAAAGCGATTGGCAGAACATCTTGAGCATCACAATTTGTACAAGCCTTTCCAATCGGCATACCATCCTAAACACAGTATGGAGACAGCCCTATTGAAAGTCCTCAACGACCACTGACGTGGTATTGACAGTGGTAATGTGGGCCTCCTGTGCTGTTAGATTTGAGCGCAGCCTTTGATACCATAGACCACCAGATGCTACTCAGTCGCCTCAAGGATGACTTCTTCCTCAATGGTACTGTATGGTCCTGGTTCAAATCCTATCTGTTGAATCGGTATCAATTGGTGTATATCGATGGTGTCTATTCAGCTCCAGTGAATCTCTCAAGCGGTGTGCCACAGGGGTCGGTTTTGGTTCCAGTTCTATTCACACTGTACACCAAGGCACTTGGTTCAATCATTAAGGTACATGAGATCAACAGGCATCTATACGCAGATGACACTCAGCTGGCATCACTCTTCAAGCCTAATCAACCTGAAGCACGGTGGGCAGCTCAAGCTATGACAAACTGCTGTCATGACATACTGAAATGGATGTCGACCAACAAACTCAAGTTGAATGCTGAAAAAACGGAGTGTGTTGTGGTTGGACCAAAGTCAAGGCAAGGCGTTTAGAGTCCAAACTCACTACCTTGGTTACTGGAGATACTGAGGTACCAGTGTCAGAGAGTGTCAAAGACCTGGGTGTAATCTTGGACTCGGACCTCTCCATGGACAGTCACATCAGCCAAATAACCAAGATAGGTTTTCTTCAGTTGAGGAACATCAGCAACATCCGGGAAATATTTGACCAAAGAATCAGCCATCATTCTCATACTGTCCCTAGTCTTGACAAGGATCGACTACTGTAACAGCCTCCTTGTTGGAGCCTCTGCTGTGCAGATAAATTGTCTCCAGCGTGTACAGAATATGGCCGCCAGGATTGTGTCACTCGCCCATAAACAAGATCATATCACTCCAATCCTGAAGAATCTACACTGGCTTTCAGTGCAGCAGAGGGTTACTTTCAAGATCCTCTGCTTAACCCACCGATGTCTGTCCGGCGACGCTCCAGGCTACCTACAGGACCTCCTGCCTATCTACTCCCCCCACTCGATCCCTACGCTCTGAGTCCAAGCTTCTGTGTCGCATTCCCAACATCAAGACTGTGAGATATGGCCAGCGTTCCTTCTCATATGCAGCGACATCCGCATGGAACAGCCTCCAAGAATCAATCAGAAGATCTCTAAATCAAATGTCTTTCAGACCCATCTCAAGACCCATCTCTTTCAACAGCTCTGAATTCTTTTTTTTGACTGTTCACTTCGAGCATGCATCAAGGATGGAGTAATGCGCAATACAAGTGGCCTATTATTATTATTATTATGTTTTACAGATTAAAGATAGTATGCAGCAGAGAGGGTTCGGGTGATCCTGGCACAGTCAGGCTGGTAAGGCTCATCATCAGCTCAGGGCCCTTGCCCCCTCTACATGCAGCCCAGACAGCGAATGGGACTTCTCCCAGGAAACACTGCCTAGTCAAACCCACAAAGAACTTTCCGGAGAATATGAAGGCTCCCCAACACTGCAGCCTTCTGCATTACCCAGAGTGTCGGAAGGGCTGTGCTCCCGGTGGAGAACCCGGGAACTCTCCTGATCTGCGCCAAGAGATCAGGAGGTACCAAACCAAGGGCACCTAGAACAATTGGGAGCCTGATGACAGTGTACTTGGGATGCAAGCGAGACATTTAAAAGGCTTCCGGTAAGGGCAGATAACCCAAAACGTCAAAATCTTTGAGCCCCAATATCTCCAAAACTAGAAGGGCTGAATTGACCAAATTTTCACTCAATGTAGACATCATCATCCTTTATTGATTCAACGCATAAAATGACTTAAGCAGCCGGTGAAATTTTCCGCAATTTTGGAAAAACTGAATTTTTTGCCGATTATCACGTTTGTGTCTGAAAATCTTGTTCTCCAGAACATCATATAGTACAATCGTGTTCGATACGCAGTTTGAAAACCGATACTCTGGAATACTTAATTTGCTCAAGGCATGTCGATATCTTGAATGGTTTTGGAGTTATCGCCCTTGGAAGTTGGTGAATTTTTCTAAGACACATTTTCATAGGGTTAAAAAAAAGATCACAACTCTGCGAAAAATCAATGTATTCCATTTTCCTAAGTACCAACCTCTAGGTAATTGAATGGGAAACATTTTTGCTTCACATCATGGTTATGTAAAAATCAGTAATTACGTCACCATTACGATACAAACACAACCTTCGCGATTTTTCACATTTCCGCACCTTTTGACGGTGCCTGTGTTTAACAATCTTCTTCTCCTGAACGGCAAATAGTACAATCGCATTCGATACACCGTTGGAAAGCCTATACTCTGGACACCTTAATTTGTTCAAGGCATATCGATATCTTGAATAGTGTCGGAGTTATTACCCTTGGAAGTTGGTCAATTTTGTCAAACGCATTTTTATAGTGTTTATAATAATGTCACAGCTCTGACCTAACCTCTGGGACGATTTTCATGAAACTTTCAGGGATGATAGCCTGTATGCTGAATATGATACAATGTTGAAAAAATCCCGACTTCCGGCTTCCGGTAAGGGCAGATAACCCAAAATGTCAAAATATTTCAAAATCTTTCAACCTCAATATCTCCAAATTTTTAGAGATAATTTGACAAAGTTTTCACTTAATGTAGACAACGTCATTCTCCATCAGTTCAATGCATAAAATAAGTCGGGCAGCAGAAGAAATTTTCCGCAATTTTGGGAAAAACTGAATTTTTTGTTGATTTTTCTGTTTTAACGGTGCCTGTGTTTAAAGATCTCCTCCTCCTGAACGGCATATAGTACAATCGTTGTAAAGCCCACACTCCGGATTACTTAGCTTGTTCAAGGCATGTCGATATCTTGAATAGTTGTGGAGTTATCACCCTTGGAAGTCGGTGAATTTTCTAAGACACATTTTCATAGGGTTCATAAAAAATGTCACAGCTCTGCAAAAACACAATGAATTTCGTTTTTCAAGGTACCAAACTGTAGATAATTGAATGTGGAACATCTT